ATGATGAAATTATAGTCAGTGACTATAGCAAAAGAAAACAAAATTAAAGAATGAGGATCGAATCTTTTTCAACTATCCTTCCATTAGAAACTTCCTCTTCAAATTATTGTTTGCTGTCCGTTTACAACCTACCCAAATTTGTGTTTCTTGTACATGCTTTGTCATTTCTTTGATTTCTAACTTTTCATAAGAATGGTCATAATGTACTGGTACTAATTGAAACATCAATTTTCCAAATAACTCCATTATATTGCCTGGCTGAAATTTTTGTCATTCTTGGACTTTAAATGAAGATAGACAAACAGTAGTTTGATTCTTTAATTAATTGGAATTGAAAACAATCCATTGAATGATGATAGAAATAAACTAATGATGATCGGTGGGTGATGGTAACATTAATACAATATCATTGTGACTGTGTGTATGAAAACTTTGTTGCGTAGAAAAATCATTGTTTTAATAATGTTGGAGCAGGAAGGAAGAAATTGGGGGGTTATGGGAGCAAAACAATATATTGAGGGTATTCTTTTTGTCCTAATAAGGGAACAGAACAGTTTTTTTTTTTTTATTTATTTTATTTTTCTTTTTTTTTGCTGTGGCAACTATTTTATGCTCGGGACTAAAGCTAGCATAATCTTAAACATCCTCTTTACCAACTCTCTTTTTGGAGAGGGGGAGGGGGGATTCTGGTGCTTTATAAAATATTTCTACCATGCCGTCGTCAAACTAATCAAATACAATTTAACCTACTCAACACTAATAACAATAGCACAGTAGCAAGCAGGGTCGATCCCATAGAGAAAGATATCAAGTACCAGGTTAAAATTATTTCTTATTATTATTTAGACAACTAATAATAATAATTTTAAATTAAACTAAACCTAATACTAATAATTAAATTTAATTAATAAAAGAAAACGTAGGGCAAAGGGTTCACCTACCGACTACTCAGTTTAACTCAACCTATAAATATATTACTTTAGACTTTCATTAATCTCACAACGATTCACCTACTTAAGAATTATTTACTGTCGTGATATAATTCTCTTACTCAAACTAACCTATGACTATTGTCGTGATTATAGAATTTAATTAGAGTACATTAAGAACCCTAGAATCTATAGCTGCAAAGACGGTGTTCCTACTATCGTGGCCCACTATCTAAGTTTAATATTCCAATAAACTAGTGCTAACCTTCAACCGTCATTCCTTCAGTTAAACACTTTTAAAGCATGCAAGTGGTGATCAAATACTCACATGGAATAAAAATAAGAATATTAAATATCAACTAATGAAAAAGTCACAATCATGAATTAAATTAATTTAAATAGTACGGCGGCTACAACCAAAACCCTATATTAAAATAATTTAGTTACACATCATATCAAAAATAAATAAAACGATAAAATTCGGGAGGAAGCCAGCCAAAAAGTTGAGACTGAAGTTGATGAACTGATGCTTGTTTCCTCCTCCGATGATGTGCAGATTAATGGTGATGATGTTGGGGTGCTTCGGGCTTTTGGACGTGGGGGTTTTTAGGCGTGAGGGTGTAAGGTTGGTTATTTTGGTGGGTTTCGGGTTCCGTTTCTAGAAGAAAACTCCAAGTCCTTTTATAGTGTTTATAAGCCAATATTTTTTGGAGATTAAGTTAGTTCGTTACCCAATTAATTCGGGATTAAACTTCTGCCGAAATACTTGCTTTCTTGCATCACCGGCCCAGCTCCTCTTCTCGGCTTCGTTTTGGTCAATAAAAAAACATCAAAAGTCCGTTGAAAACTCAAGTCCAAAACCAAAGAAAAAATCAGACTTCCACTCTTTTAATTCCAATCAACCAACTAGCCCACTTCATATTTTAAGCTTTTGCCCAAATTTGACTTCAGCCCATGCAAATTGATTAGTCCATTCTCTTTTGTTCGGCCAAATTTTGTATTAAGTTGCCAAATTTTCATTCTCAGCCCTTTGACTTTTAAGCTCTCCACTTTTCTCCTTTTGAGTTCCTCTCGTCTTCATTCAGCTCTCAAAACTTCAGCAATTCTTCAATTAATTTCATAAAATAAACTAATTTCTTGCAAGTCATTTTTAATTAAATTAAGAACTAAATTCAACTCAAAGAAATAAATTCTTATTCAAAACACTACGAATGAGAGCATAAAAATATATCTAATTTAGCACTTATCAATTTCTTTCAAACGAAGATTCAGAGAATGATAGATAAAAAGAGGAAATAAACCGAACAACATCCAAAATAAATCTCAAGTTCAACACGTACGAAACTGATAAAACAAAATCCTTACGATGGACCCTAGACAAAGTAAGCACTGGGGATGAATATAAAAATATCTTAAGCTAATTAACCTCCATGGTTTTCTTTTAGCAAAATCTATCACAAAATTACTAAGGAGTATAAATTTCTTTGTTTACTTCTTTGAGGCTAGCTTTACCTTAGCTTTCTGAATCAAATCTTCTTCATAATCTTCTATTCTCCCACAAGAAAAGCTCCGATGATCCGTTCCCTCACAGGAGTTTTAGACAATACTCCTCCAAAAGAATTTATTCATGTCAACCTTTTGTGCTAAATCATTAGCAAAATGCTTGGTCATATTGCCATTCCATGTTTAGTAAAAGTCTGAGTAACATGAATAAATTTTTTCCAATTTTTTTACTGACCAAAACTCTGCTTTAATGACATTATACCCCATTCTTGATTCATTTAATCTTGAAGAGATTGATCTGACAAGTATTTTTATTTTGAAAATACTATACTTGCTTTTAGAATTTGTTTCAACAAAACCATGTTTAACAATATATATCTATAGTATTATACTAAGAGAGAAACCAGAGAGAGGGAATCAAACTTCTCCTCACGTTGACACATAGGACAAAATCCTATGTGTCATTTTCCTATTGGTGGGCATAAAAAATATTTACAACTATTGCAATAAAGGTCCTTTGAATTTTCAGAAAAGTAATAGTTACTTCATTACACAATTAATGTATAATGATAAAATGTTGTGGTCAAATTGGTAAATAAAATCGGTGATAGGAAATTCCTTAAAAGGGATCAAAATTGATTCCGATCAAAATAAATTCCATTTTTCGGTGATTATCAATTACCATTAAATGTAATCTTAAATTGTAGTTGCTGGATGATGTGGTTACCAAAATGCTTATTAGTGTTGATGTGTTTGTATGGTTTTGATTTTTGTGGGAAGAATCTACATTGAATAGCATTGAACTTGATTATTTTAATTTTGAATTAAGGGAAAATTTATAGATGGAATTGCACGATTTTTGTCATTTTCCCGTAAATGAAGCGTCATTCAATTTCAATTAAAAAAAACGGAGAAGATTGCGGATCAATGTAGGATAATTTTTTGTTTTTTTTTTTCTTTTGGAAACTAATTTAATATTATTGATTGCTGTTATTTTTAAAAATATTTTAATTATCCGAGTGGAACCTCAGAAATCCTAAAGCTTCGGGTGTATTACCCTTTAATTTCGATTGATCTAGGCCGAATATATGACCCAATTTGTAATAAAAAATTAATATTTAGCCACCAGCTTTGTTGAGAATGGCATTCTTTTAATGTTTTGTGTTTGTGTGATCATGAATAGATGGAAAAGAAATATTACGAAATCAATTTTGGTAAGGTGATTTGGTCACATAAAAACCACATCGGAAAGTTATGAATGCAATTATTAGTTAAAAATTGTAACTTAGCCATTTGTTTAGCTCGATTTTTAATGATCAAAACCATATATTCAAGATAATAGGTATACTGATAATTGCACAAATCCTAGCGACACAATTAATGGATAGCCAAGTGACTCAGAACGATACAGACCCGTACCCGTAATTGCATGGTCATATACGTGGATACTATTCGTTCTGTTTTTTTATGGGGAAGTATGGTTATGTTCGCATTCAGTTTGTGCTATCATGACGCAATTAATGGATAAAAAATCGTAAAAAATCACTTAATCCCATAATCATGGCAGATTTTATTACTATGCAAATGTGGGAATGGTATATATATACTCTTCAAACCCATATCAAAACCCACAACCACAAAAGAAGACAGACACTCAATCCTTCCTTTCATTGCTACGAACAATCTCAAACACCTCACTCCATGTCAACCTGCAACAACGTTGTTGATTTCATAAAAGACTTGACCCCCATGGTTGTCAAGTCTGATTGGAAAGTAAATGTTCGAATCCTCTACGTATGGACAACAACTTTTGGGGTGCACTCATCCGTCGAAGCTTTACTTATGGACGAAGAGGTAACTACTAAATTTTATAGTTTATAGAACTTTTGTGAATTGATGTTTTGTTAATAGATTTTTGACCCCGATTCCCAATGATTAAAATTAATTTTTTCTTCATATGTATATTGGCAGGGTAGTAAAATTCAGGCTTCTGTCCACAAAAAATTCATGTGGAAATTTCAAAAACTTCTTGAAGATGGAGAGGGAGAAACCAGACAAATCACCAACTTTGATTTGGCCGAAAACACGGGAAATTACAAGTCTAACAAGCATCCCTACAAAATTGCTTTCATGCGCAACACAAGGGTGGAACCATGTACCAATGAGTCCATCCCGAAACATTCATTTGAATTCGTCCCTTTCGGTTACATACATGACATGAATCCTATTAAGAATGATTATCTCATAGGTATGTATGCAAAAAAAAATTAAAACAAAGCCCTATTGCCATTTCACATTCATTTTGCATAATCTGTTTATTGTTGAATGTCGATGTCATTGGTGAGATTGTAAGGGGGACGAAAATGAAGGAGGAAATGGGTAGCAAGATTTTAGACATCGAGCTAGAAGATTTGGAGTGAGCAAACCACATTTTAACTTATATTATAGGATTGTTTATATTCTAATGTTACTGATTAAATTGTTGTTATTTTTTTTAATATTTTTTTCAGAAAGAACATACTCCAAGTGACCCTCTGGAATGAGCTTGCAGTAACAGTGAGAAACTACATGGATAATAAAACCGGACGTGTACTTTTTGCGTTGAAATTTGGCATTATTAAAGAGTTTAATGGTAATTCATCAATAACTACTACATACACAATCTTTATTTGTTATTTTCTATTATTATTAACATAAAGGGAACTCAACAATATTTTATTCTGACAACTTATACAGGAAAACGGTATGTACAAAATGCCAAATTTGGTGGAAAAGTTTTCCTTGATCTTGACATTGATGTGTTCAACTCTTACCGACAAAGGTATGCATTATATGCCATACCATTATTTAAATCGTTTTATATACTATACATTATTAATATTATTTACCAATTTGGCCGAATGACTGTTAGGATGCTTGATGTTGATGGTTTGGGGAACGATTCAAATCGTATTACCCAAATGGATTCCCAGACAACAATCACAAAACGTGATGCTTTTCTCAATGGTTTCCAGCGAATGAACCTTTCCGAAATTACATTAGTTGAAGAGGTAATTCATTTTTTTCCAAAGTGTCACAACTGAAATGGTTTAGGTGGTATTGTTTCAACCTTTACGACATGACTTTATATATGCATGTCTAAATTTTTCAGAATACAACATGTGTTGTACTTGCAACAATAGCATGCATCAAACAAAATGGAGATTGGTCCTATATAGGATGCAAAAAATGTCACAGAAGGGCTGGGCAACCCGTGACCAATCATCAGGAAAGCATGATACTGATTCTGAAATTAGTCAAGACACAGGTGTGTACACAGGGTTTAAATGCGCCCAATGCAAAAATGAGCGTGCCGTTTTTTCACCAATGTAAGTTATCCCATGTATGTGTGTGTGTGTGTGTGTGTGTGTGTGTGTGTGTATATATATATATATATATATATACACCTATAGTATTAAGAACCTAAACCTTGAGCTATTTTACACTGTATGAATCTAAAATATTCTTTCAATTTATAGGTTTAAGATTAATGTTCGGGTTATCGATTCCACCGGATGTGCCACGTTTCTCTTATGGGATAATGATGTCAAGCATTTGATTCATAGGACAGCACTAGAATTAAGGAGAAAACAAGCTGAGATGAAAATTGAGGTAACGTATTATTTGAGAATCCTTGATTAGGTTTTGTAACTTCAATAGTGTCCTAAATTTGGCATCGAAAATGCAGAGTACACAAGAAGACGACGCTTACCCGATTGAAATCAATGCAATGCTTAATAAACAGTGTCTGTTCAAGCTTGATATCTCGCCGAGCAATAATCCTAACTTACCATCTGATATAAAGGTTGCAAAGATGACTAATGACCCGGACATAATCAGTGAGTTCTTGGCCATCCATAGACAAGACATGGTAATGATAGAAAATCAAAATAATTGCTTTTTCATGTCATATATAATGCTGAAAATTTATGATTTACATTTCGTCAAACATTTGTATCCAAAGTTACGCCATTAAATTAATATTTTATTAAACTAACACGTACAGGGAGGTGGGTCTGATATGACAACTACTCCAGCGAGGAATAACACAAGAGTTACCGAAGAATCTAAGGTATTAAACAATATTATCATTGCAATGTATTATTTACGATTTTTCATAATCATTCCTTTTTCATCCTCTCTATGTAGAATATTGCATCTCAATCAGGAGATTCTGAACAAGTTAATGAAGAATTGGTCACTACTGCAAGTAGTCCAATTAGCAAAGGAAAGATGAAAAATCTTGATACTCCACCTTCAACTGTTCAATCAGCAAATACCCGCAAAAGGAAGATGGTGTTGGATGATGATGAGTAGTTGGAAAAGAATGGAGATCCTGGCATATTTATCCTGTTTTTTTTTTTTTTGCACAATAAAACATTGAGGATTCCTGGACATATCATTGTTCACAAGTGGATTAACGTTTTGTCATGGTTGTTTTAAATTATGGGTAACTTACCCCAATCCCTTATTCGAGCAAACAACATTGTCTACATTCATTCTTACGTACTTGATTTCGTAATATTTCTTTTCCATCTATCCATGATTACACAAACACAAAATATCCAAAAATGCCATTCTCAACAAAGCTGGTGGCTAAATATCAATTTTTGAGTACAAATTGGGACATATATTCGGCCGAGATCAATCGAAATTAATGGGTAATACACCCGAACCTTTAGGACTTCTGAGGTTCGTTAAAACTTTCCATTTTGTGACCTGACAAATACAAGAATTAATATATTTGTTCAGCACATATGAAGGTAGCAGTACATATAGGATCTTCACCACACGAATTGCGACCACTCGGATAATTAAAATATTTTAAAAAATAATAGTAATCAATAATATTAAATTAGTTTGCAAATGGAAAAAAACGAAAAATAATCCTACATTGATTGCAATCTTCTCCGTTTTTTTTATTGAATGACTCTTCATCTACGGGAAAATGAAAAAAATCGTGCAATTCTATCTATAAATTTTTCCTTGATTCAAAAATAAAATAATCAAGTTTAATGCTATTCAATGTAGATTCTTCCCACCAAATCAAAACCATACAAACACATCAACACTAATAAGCATTTTCGTAACCAGATCATCCAGCAACTACAATTTACGATTACATTTAATGCTAATTGATAATCACCGAAAAATGTTGCATTATTTATCTACTGATGGATTAAAATTCATATACTTAACCTTTGACCTTTACCATGTATGACTTTACTATCAAGTTACACTTACATCCAATATATTAATAATTGATTTCTTCTAATCCTATAATTAACGGTGACCAAGTTGGTGATTCATGCATTTATGCGTATCAACCTAACTAATTGTACAAAACTTGATCGAGTACTAAGGTAAAAATTTAAATTTGTACTATTGTGTAGATTTTAAACAAAATAAACTGAACAATTACAGAAAATCAATATAAATCATTCATGCTCTTGATGTGTCATAAAAATATGGAAAATATTCACCCGATTCATTTTTAATTAATGATGCGTCAAGAAAATTAATTATGTGTATTGAATAAATTTCGAAAATAATACTTATTTTCTACCTAAAATCTCGACGTTATGACATCATGTTTGGGTATTAAACTTTGGGTAAACAAACCACTTACGCATACACTCCAATTACTACTTCCCACTTGTGACTATTTTTTCTGCCCACATTACAATTTGTCTACATGTGCACCATCACTTCAACTAATACATAATCATATAATCGATTACCCAATTAAAAAAAAAAACTTCAATCCAAAAAATGGCTTCCATGCAGAAACGTCGACAAGATGAGAAAAATATTGATTATTTGCCCGAAGAATTGTTGTCCGGAGTTTTGCAAAAGCTTGATGCATCGATGGTCCCAATTTGTCGAAGTGTGAGAACTTCATGGAACGAAAAGCTTCAAGACCCCGACTTTTTGAAAATCTTGCGGAGGTCTCACAAGGAGATGTCACGCAACAATATTTTGATGGTATGCCAGTCAACCGAACCTACAACACAGCCAAACATGATGAAATTTAATGCATTCGATTTAATGGGTAAGGACTCAAGAGTGCTGAGCAGAAACTACAATAAAACCGTTGCAGTAACAGGTGCGCATAAAGTGCTGCCAATAACCTCTGATCTAATTTGTGTCAAATTTCTCGCTTCTTTGTCCATATTAAACCCCACTTCTGGTGAAAATGTTGAAGTTAATCTAGATAATGCACCTATATGGCATGCAAATTGGGAAGCTGTTTTCGGTTTTAGTGATGAGTTAGGGGAATATGTTTTGATAGCGTTGGAAATCCAGTCTGATCTTAATATGCACGGTAAGATAATACGTTGGGATATGAATCAAAAGTTTTCTAATACAGTTGTTGTTTGGAAAGATATTCAGCAACTTTGCCCTCGTGTTGTGGAACAAGGAATTCTGGTCGGTAGTCACGTATTTTGGCCCATCGATAAAATGTTAAAATCACAACTTGATGGATATAAGTGTGAAGGAATAATAGTGTTGTATTCTATAGAAAATGAAAATTTTCATGTTTTGCCTGGTCCGACCGAAGCAAAATGGAACAACGATCCACGTTCTTCTCATAGGATGATAATCCTACTAGACTTCAAAGGTAGATTATGTGTCACTAACCCACACTATCTTGAACAGACAAGACATCTTGAATTGTGGGCAATAGATATGCAATCACCGTCTCAATTCAAATGGGATAAGGTTCATGATCATAAATTGGAGTTTCAGGTTGCAAGGCCCCTTCAACCATTTCCCATGCCGGATCAACATCCATGTACACGACAACTATTGTTAAGCTTAAGATCAAGCGCCGACGGAATGCTAATAATTAGTGGGCCAGATCGAGATCAATTATACATATATGATACAAAGAATAAGACCCACAGTCTTCATAATAAGCCTCCAATGATTTTGGCATTGTATGAATTATCAGTTGGTTTTTATTGGTCACGCTTTACTCCAATATGAAATGTATGTTTTTTTTCCTCAATACAAAGGAAGTTGATCCCGGGCAATGATGATGTTTCGGAAGAGATAATGCCCTCAAACTGTTAAGCTCAATAAATGATTAAGAATAATGTAGACAACATTCCTTGATGTTTTAACTGAAGATCATGAATTTTGCTTTACGCACTTAACCTTACTGGTGTTTTATTTTTATATGTAACTATTTTGATCTTTTGATTATTTATCAAATTACATATTCCTCGATGACTAATCATGCATTTCCGGCATCATGGTTAAAATTAAATTTTTAGTAATACATTTTCTTACGATACAAAAAAAAATTGAATATTCAAAGTCAAGTTTCCAATTCATCTTCATTCACAAACCATTAACTTTATTATTGGTCGACCCACTCTAAAATTTATAAACTTATACATTTACAATCCCATTATTAATCGATGTATAAACAAATTTAAATATTTGTGCTAAATGCCATGAATATCTTAAATGAGGAATTAAATATTTGTATGGCTCTCTTAAATTGATTGCTCTTTACATCATCAATTATCATAAATGTAACCCCAATTATAATTGGAACCAAAAGTACACCTTACGATATGTATACAACACTTTACACTTAATTAACAACAATAAATGTGAAATCATGATTTAAGGGTACATTAATATAATTTAAAACCAATGTAAGGTTAGAAAATCAAAAGTAAATCAGTTTTGAAATTCAAAAATGAAAAAAATGTCCGCCAAAAATTGCTGCCACTAATATTTAAACATATTACAAGTTAAAAACATGTGTACAACATCTTCAATTCGAATCAATCCATTCTCATGGATCATATAAATTTTACTTCTGCACAAATTAAAAGAAAATTTGCTCTTCCATCACGTAGTTATGTACTTCGTCCACCAACACGTAATGAAGAATCTGCTGCAGCAAGGTTTAATAGGAGGCTGATATTGTCAACCAAAAGGCAAAAAACCCTTAATACTTTTCAACAAAATACATCCCAAATTCCAAGTTCCATACAGAATCATAATATCTACAATCTTCACGGTGGTTTTCAACCCATCAATTTTTCAAATACCAGTGCTTTGATATGTCCTTCATTCTACCAACCGTTGACACTTAATTCTCCACTAGGTGCTGTAGCAAATGGTACGTTTGCATCTGTTCCACACACATATCTAATTCCCCATTTACAAAGTGAATACCAAAATAATATAAATTACATACATTCAAATCTAATACATTGAATGTATAGTATATTTCAATAAACAATTATATCGTTGTATTAACGATATGATTTAAAATCCACAGGAGGCATAGTACCTTCTAAGCCTACAACAAATAAATCAAACAAGCGGAAAACACCAACATTGGCAACACAATCAGATGATGCATCAAGACGTTCTTGTGGCGCAGGAGCAAATTTGGACTCAAACTCACAAACCAGTAAGAAGCCCCAATCTAAAAAGAACAAAGACAGATTCAGTAAACTGGAATCATCGCCAGGTATTAAACATTTTCTAAATGGTCAATGTACATTTTAGACATGTCAAATACAAACCAAATGTAGATTGCATAATTATATCCCATAATTATTATTGTAATGTTATATGCAGATTATTATGATGTTGGTGATCCAGAATCTTTCTGTGAATTTTGCGGTGCTAACATGTGGTATGAAGAAAGATCTAGGGGCGATAGACAATCAGTTCAACCAAAGTTTTCATTGTGTTGCATGAAAGGGAAAGTTCAATTGCCTACACTAACAGAACCACCTAAATTTCTAAAGAATCTGATCCTTGGTAAACGCCGTCTGTCGAAAAATTTCATAGAAAATATTCGGGCATATAACATGATGTTCTCCTTCACTAGCATGGGAGGTAAGATTGATAATACTGTAAACAATGGTCGCGGCCCTTATTGTTACAGAATGCATGGTCAAAACTACCATAGGATTGGCAGTCTTCTTCCAAATTCTGGAACGGAACCGAAGTTCTCACAGCTGTACATATATGATACTTGGAATGAAATAAACAACAGGATGTCTGCTTACAGGTATAAAAATATACTATTTGCCAAATTTAATTTGTTGTACCCTATGTGTATATCATTCATATTATCAAATTATATTATGTCAGCATTATATGCAACAATGTTTGTACTAATTCAAGTCACGTGTATTATTAGTTCAAAATCAAGAAGGTCAAGATCTGCAAACTTTGATACAACACTGGTAAAGGGATTAACAAAAGTGGTAGATGATCATAACCAATTGGCAAAGAGTTTTAGACACGCAAGGGATACAATCAACTCAAACAGTGAGCAACAAGTTAGGTTGGTCATCATTGGAACAAGAAAAAAAGATGGAAGGCAGTACAACATGCCTGAAGCTTCCGAAATAGCAGCATTAATCATTGGTGATGGCAGTGTGGAATCTGACTATAGAGACATCGTCATCCAATACAAGTCAGGCGAATTGAAACGTATTAATGAGCTACATCCATCTTACATTCCGCTGCAGTATCCAATCTTATTTCCATATGGTGAAGATGGTTACCACCTCGGCATTGTATTAAAGGACAAGCCTTTAACCTTCACAGATGCTGAAAATAAAAAGAGAATACGTTTGAGCATTAGAGAGTGGTTTGCTTACCGATTGCAAGAAAGAGACAAAGAATTTTCAATGATTTTGCATGCAAGGCAGTTGCTTCAACAATTTGTGGTTGATGGATATAGCATAGTTGAATCAGAACGGCTGCATTATGTCAAGAAGAAGCAGGACAATCTTAGATGTGAATCCTACCGGGCCATACTAAATGCATCAAATGGAGGCATAACTGATGCATCATTCTTAGGCAAACGTGTAATTTTACCATCATCATTTACGGGTGGTTCAAGATACATGATGCAAAACTACCAGGATGCAATGGCTTTATGTAAAGCTTACGGATATCCAGACTTTTTTATAACTTTCACATGCAATTCAAAATGGCCGGAAATCACCAGGTACTGCAACAAGAGAGGCTTCAAGCCTGAAGACAGATTGGACGTTGTTTGCAGGATTTTCGCAATGAAATTGGAAATGTTTATAAAAGAACTCAAGGATGAAGAATTGTTTGGCAGAGTACAAGGAGGTAAGTATTAAAAACATTATGTTTCATTTAATTAAGTTATATATATAACGAAACTACTTTTATGATGGAACACAATATTACATTAAACCTTTTCCTTTACATGCAGTTGTTTATACTGTTGAATACCAAAAAAGGGGCTTACCTCATGCACATGTATGTTTGTTCTTACACCCCGATGATAAGGTGAAGACAGGCGAGGATATTGACAGATTTATATGTGCTGAGATTCCAGACCCTAATGAAGACCCTGAGCTATATGAGCTGGTTAATGAGTTTATGATTCACGGACCTTGTTGTCATGCAAATAAAAATAGCCCCTGCATGGTGGATAACAAATGTTCAAAGCACTTCCCTAAAAGTTTCATTGAACGAACAATGGTCGATGGAGATGGCTATGCAAAGTACAGAAGAAGGGAAAATGGGCACACAATTGACAAAAACAAAATCACCGTAGACAACAGGTTATAAATACAAATACATTTTTTTTAGGATTATTAATTCATGCACAATTAAATACAGTAAAAAAAACATTTCTAATATGTTTACTCATTACAGATTCGTTGTTGGTTACAACAAGTACCTGTTGAAGAAATGGCGTGCACACATTAATGTCGAATGGTGTAATCAGTCCCGATCAATCAAATACCTGTTCAAATACATTAACAAGGGGTCAGACAGAATCAGCTTCGGAGTTTGTAATTTGGGGAGGAGGAGAAATTTATAAATAAACCAATTGATGAGATCCAAGATTATTATAGTTGCAGGTACCTATCTGCTTGCGAGGCCGTGTGGAGAATTTTTCAATTTGATATACACTACAGGTATCCTTCTGTTGAAAGATTACCTTTCCATCTTCCTGATGCTCAGAGTGTCTTATATGATGAAGATGAGTCCCTTGAAGATATCATATCCAAACCTTCAAGTAACTACACAAAGTTTTTATCGTGGTTGAATTGTAATACTGTGTACGAAGATGCCAGGCAACTGACATATGTAGAGTTCCCATCAAAATTTGTTTGGCATCAAGACGTGAAAGAATGGCAGCCAAGGAAAAGAGGGAGATCAACTGGCAGAATACACCATGTCCCTCCATCTTCGGGGGAACTTTACTACCTGCGTATGTTGTTGAATCATGTTAGAGGGCCACAGTGTTACGAGGATATTAGAACAGTAGATGGTAAAGTCCATGATACATTCAAAAGTGCCTGTGATGCAATGGGACTACTTGATGATGATAGCGAATTCATAGACGGGATAATAGAAGCGAGCATATGGGGATTTCTAAGCTATTTGAGGAATATTTTTGCTAGGCTCCTAATGACTGAGAGGCTAACCAAACCTGAAGCTGTTTGGGAAGCAACATGGAAACAGCTATCTGAAGATATTGAAGACATGCAGAGGAGAATTTACAATGAAACAGGTGTATATTAATACATTCCATTTTACAAATTCCATAATAATTCATTACCTATTTTTTATTTATTTATTTTAAATAACCACAAATTTATAACATCAAATTATGCACTACTATTACTGTCAGACACGTGGACGCTCCCAGATGAAGCAAAGAAAATGTATGCTTTGGTTGAGATTGATCGGATAATGCGCCGAAATGGTAGTAGTCTAAAAAATTTTGAAACCATGCCATATCCAGAAGAACATATAGAAGAAGAAGACTACAACAAGTTAATACATGATGAGCTTCAATATGATGTACTGCATTTGACTTCAGAACATGATGAGCTCTACAATAAATTAACCAATGAGCAGAAAGAAGTCTATGATCGTATAATGAATGCAGTAACAGGTAATGAAGGAGGAGTTTTCTTCCTTTACGGATATGGTGGTACTGGTAAAACATT